TTGGCCACTGGGTATTGCAAGGGCTGGCTGGGAACCTCGGCACGACGACAATGGGGCAACTACGAAAACTGTATTGCACAGATTATCAAAGACCCGCATACGTCTAAGGAGGATCTGCACGCCCAGTTAATATTCATGGAGCGAGATATACAGAAGATCGGTGACGAGCACGCTATCCAGGTCAAGACGAGCCATGACAACTTCCAGGACAATACTACGAGTGCCATTGACGAGACCAGAACGGAGCACTGGATGCAGATATAGCAGGGAGCGTCACGTAGGGGCGCCACGTACGCAAAGCTAGAGACTGCTCAGGCTGCAGTGCCAAGTGCTACTCAGAGCAACCAACACGAAGGGTGGGACACGCAAAGGCAGGCCGCATGCAGTCACATCCACGAGCTCAAGAGACGTGAGGCAACTCGCTGAGAAGGACACCATGCTCGCCAGCAGGGATGAGGTAGCAACGGGCATTCGGAAGGATATGCCCTACCTCGCAGAGGGTACGAATGGGCTCACTGTGGTACGAAATAAAAACGAAAACTACCCACGCAGGGGCACTGAAGAGCCGGGAACGTGGCCAAGGGCATCGTCGACAAGATACGATCGAGCGGTGTCGGCGAGCGGTCGGTTGCCCCAAACCGTTCGTGGATCTGCTGGTCCACCGTGCCAACACTGATTCGCAACTTCCAAGAGTCATGAGTAAAACCGAAAGCGTCCAGAACCTCCGCCACTGAAAATCAGCCGACCCTGTCGGCGTGCGTGAGACGCTTTTCCGTTCAAATCGTCGTCGTCGTGGTCGTCGACGCTCCCTCCCCCCTGCCCTCGACGCTTTTCTGTTTGATTCGTCGTCGTCGCCGCTCCCAACCCTTTCCCTGGGCCCTCCTCCCCAAAGCGTTACAGCCAGAGGGAAGTCGAGCATCGTCGCAATCGAGTCCAATGAACGTCCCTTCTACTTTGATCCCACCCACGCTGGGGGGGGGGATCACGGGTGGGGATCCTGGGGTGGGGGTGCCGGAGGGATGTCCCGGGGTGGGGTGGTCGGCCCGAGGGAGCACTGCTCCCTGGGACAGGCCTTCCCCTTCGATGTCTTGCCTCCCAGGCGCCTCGAGCTCTTTTGCACCGCGGCTTGCGCCAAGGGAGCCCCGAAACAGCCCAAGATCGCTCCAAACTGCCCTCAAGCGAGCCTCAGAAACACCCCAAGACGCCCCAAGAGGAGCACCAAGAGGGCCCCAACAGGAGAATGTCATATGTTGTCACAGTTGTTTGCACTGTCTTTCGCGTCCTCGCTTTTTCTGGCTTCCGACGCTCTAAGACGGCCAAGAAAGTCTTCAAAATCGCACCAAGAGCCCAAGGGACTGCCGAAAGCGCTTCAGCACGGCTCAAGACGGCGGCCGAAGAGGACACCAAGAAGGCCCTGAGAGGCTCCCGAGAGGGGGAACACTAACCGACATTTCGAGCCTTCTGCCCAAAGAGGCCCTCACGAGGCCCCAAGGGGCGCCCAAGAAGCCCCCAAGAGGCCGCCAAGAGGCCCAAGAGAGCCCCAAAAGCACTCCCAAGAGAACCCCAAGAGGGCAAAACCAATGATTTACCGCACGTGTTGACATGTTTTTCGCCGTCGTCGTCGTCATCGTCGTCGTCGTCGTCGTCGTCGTCCTCGTCCTCGTCGTCGTCCCCCTTCAAGGGTCGGCGGCACCGTCCGTGAGGCCCCTCACCGTGCGAGGATTTGCATCCGCAGGGAGAACAAGGAAACAGCCAAGGTGGGGACCCCGTGTCTGAAAAATCGGAATCGCAACGGCGGACGAGAGGGTCGGAAGCATTCTCAAACGGCGCGGTGGCAACGCCGTCGGGCGAGTCGTCGGTGATGCGGGGTGGCCGCATGGCTTTGGGAACCGTCGGAAACTGGAGCACGTGCATCACCAGTGGTGGGCTGCTGTTCAGCCCGAGGCGTCTCTGGGGGTCGGTGTGCTGTGCTCTGTCGTCGAGCGCGTGCTTCTGCCCTCCCCGCGCCCGCGCGGAGGGAGCACGGAACGCGACGGCGGGGAGCCGGGACAGCTCCCCGCCTGGGCCTCTGCCCCGTTGAATATTCCTCCTGTCGAGGCGGATCTTGGAGGAAAAATGGACAATGGTCAAAACAATACCCCGGGATAGCCAAGAAATGCTCAAAATATCGTCTCCAGACTATGTTTTGCCTGTTTTTGAATACTCCTCCTGTCGAGGGTCACGCACGACTCAAGCCTGGGCCTCCGCCCCCGCCACCCCCGGCAGGTGCACACCTTCGCGCAGGGGACCCCTCTCCGGTGGCAGCGG